GAGTCTGGTCGCATGATAATAGGAGTTCAAAACAATTTATGCTCGAATTTTTGTTCTTATTTTTTCTGTGGCCATCAGCTAAAAACCTTGAGCTCCTAATAGTGGAAGGAAGACAGACTCCAGACTCCGGAAGCTTGCATTTTCCTGGGAAATTTTTTTAATAGACAAACAACAATATAAATCACTTTATCTTATTACTACCAGAAACTCATTTTCTTTGGGACTCCTCCAGGACAAGACTCATTGGAAAAGCATGGTAGAGAATTCAGTTAGGAAATACCACCCCTGATCGGCAATATCTACTAAGCACTGTAGAGCACTGTGTGGTGCAGATGGTCTGCCTTACATCCTGAATCTAAGGGAGGATGATGCAAGAGAGGCCTGGCCATTTATTTCCATAAAGCTCAGAAAACCTTATGGGGCAGCTCTACTCTGCAACACAGGGAGTCGCCATGAGTCCTAATTGACTAGATGACTGGATTTATTTACTTATTTTTAAACTATGGGTCTTGTATTATTTTGAGCACTTTTCAGTTTTGATATATGACCCTACTACTAAGTCAGGGAGGAAGATGAGGCTTTCTGTTCCCACAAAGATTTCAACTTCAGAAACCATACTCTGCCCTCGAGGCTCAGTAGGAATCAGAATCAACTTGATGGCTGCAAGTTTGGACAAGTAAGTATGTTTTCACTACCACCCCATTTTATAAACGAGGGGGTCCAAGATGACACCGCAAGCAAATGCTAGAGCAGGACTTGAACCCAAGCTGCCTGGCGCCAGGTCTCAAAGCCTCTCACTGTATTCCTTCTCCGGTCACACTCAGGCTGCTTTTGTGGTGAGGGAGGGCTTTCCCACTGAAAAGGCAGGCTTTCCCACTGAAGAAGCGGGCCCATGCACAATGGAAAAGGAATATGGCTTGTTGCAAATGCTAACACAGCTCTTTCTTGCTTTCCAGGCTTTGGAGGTGCCCTGGGCTACATTCTGGGAGCCATAGACTGGGCCCAACTACCACTGGGAAGAGTGCTGGGCACGGAATTTCAGGTCATGTTCGTCTTCTCTGCCTTGGTGCTTACCTTGTGTGTTATTATTCACCTGTGCAGTATTCCTGAAGCCCCACTCAGAGATGGCACAGGAGACTTTCCCCCACAGCCGACTCCTCAGGACCCACTGCTGTCCTCAGTCAAAAGGTGTGAGCACGGCTCCATTGAGAAAGTGAAAAATGGCCACAGAAGCCCGGGGCTGGCAATGGAGGGAGAGGAAAACAGTGCTTGTCCTGGACAGGTAAGGGTGCAACTCCCTTTGTCTTCACTTGGAAAGCATATTCTTGCTCTTGCCCTTTCGTTGCTCTTTCTTGTTTTCACAGGTATTATTCTCTATCTTTGCTTTGCTTGTCCAATATAAAGAGCCTTGTGAAGTTTGAGTCTTTTGATCCCCAGTTGCCAGTATGCCTCGGTACTAAAGTTTTATAGTTCAAGGAGAAAAATGTGCCTTTTCCTTGGTCTCTGATCTCTCACCCTTTCAGGGCCTTGTACCTGGGAAGATGAGGCCAATTCTGAAAGGCTAAGCCTGGAACCATCCTCAGACCAGAAGTATCTCCTCCTCTTGGGTTAGGATTACAAACGTGTCCTTGCAAGTGACTCTGGCCATGGTTTGGCAACTGGGTCAGCCCTGTTGAATTTGTGTGTCATTATTCGATTGGTTGCATCTTTTAGGCCAGTAGGTCTCAACCTGTGGGTCATGGCCCCTTTGGGGGGGTCTCCCGATTCAAACAGTAGCAAAATTACAGTTATGAAGTAGCAACAAAAATAATTTTATGTGTTGGGGGGTCACCACAACATGAGGAACTTGTATGAAAGGGTCACAGCATTAGGAAGATTGAGAGCCACTGATTTAGGCTATTTCCAAGGACCTGCTCAGTGAATCCATTAACTTAATAATTTAAAGAGAATTCAATAAAATGACAGAGAAATGGGATTAGGTTAAAACAAACTGGTCAGGGAAGACTCTAGAACTATGTGACAGGCACAGTCATCACTAGCCCCTTGGGCCTATTAGCATTACAGTGGAATAAAATTAAAACTCTTGTTCCTTAAGTGCACTGGCAACATCTCACATCTTAATTCTATGAGACCATGGAAGTATAGGACTATGTCAATACAGAACCTTCCCACTATTGTAGAAAGTTCTGTGGGACAGCACTGTTACAACCACTTCATTCTCTCCCTAGGATAAGGTGATCGATATAAGTGTGGTGCCTTGCACTGTATAAGGTGTTAGATTTTGGTATTGTTATAATATTTTATGAACCCAGCAGAAGGCTCAATGCTCTAAGCACAAACATAGATGGAGCACAAATCTCTACTCCTACAGAACTCTCAAACAAACATAGTGAACTTGACGTTTTTTGTTGACTTTGAAGATACTTTATATTACTCTCCAAACCAAACCAAACTCAAGGCCAATGTCATCAAATCAATTCCAGCTCTTGTTGTTGGGTGCCATCAAGCCGGTTTGGATTTAGCAACATTATGCACAACAGACTGAAATGCTGCCCAGTCCTGTGACCGCCTCACAATTGTGTTTGAGTCCATTGTGGCCGCCGTGTCAGTCTGTTTTGTGGATAGTCTTCCTCCTTCCCTGCCCTTCTGCTTTTCCAAGCATGCTTTGCTAGGGACTGGTCTCTCTTGAGAACATGTCCCATGTACTTGAGAAATCTCTCTACTCTGGCTTCTAAGGAACATTCTGGTTATACTTTTTCCAAGATGGATCGCTTTGTTCTTTGGGTAATCCATGGTATTTCCAATATTCTTCACCAGCACCATAATTAAAATCAATTATCTCAGGTCTTTCTTATTCCAACATCTGTATGCATATGAGGAAATTAAAAATACCATGCCTTGGGTAAAATGCACCTTTGTCTTCAAAGTAAAATCCTTGCTTTTCAGTACTCTACAGGGTTCTTGTGCAGCAGATTTACCCAGTACGATGCATCAGTTGATCTCTTGACTAAGCTTCCATGAGCATTGATGGTGGATCCAAGCAAGATGAAACCTTAGATAACTTTAGTCTTCACTTTGTTTATCATTATGTTATTTACTGGTCAAGTTGTGAGGACTTTTTGGTTTTGTTTACATTGAATGGTAATCCATACTGAAGGCTACAGTCCTTGATCTTCATCAGCAGGTGTTTCAAGGACTCCTTACTTTCAGCAAGTGAGGTTGTATTATTGAAGGTTGTTAATAAGCCTTTCTCCAATCCTGATGCCATGTCCAGCTTCGTATAGTTTCTTATATATTTCATGTAGTTTCTTAGATTATTTGCTCAGCATGCAGCTTAGATAATCATGATGAAAGGAGATGACCTTGACACAAACTTTTCTTGATTTTAAACCATTCAATATTCCCTTATTTTGTTTGCAAAACTGCCACTTGACCCATGTAAGTGTTCTTCACGAGCACAATGAAGTGTTCTGGAATTTTCATTCTTCACAAATGTTCTCTATAGTTGGTTGTAATCAAGTTGCTGAATGTCTTTGCATAATCAATAAAACACAAGTAAACATTTCTCTGGTATTCTCTGATGTCATTCTTTATGCATTCATTTCATTTTTGATGACTTCCAATTTTCCTAGATTCATACTTGGTATATTCCAAGTTTTGATTATTAATAGACTTTACGGTTGTTTTTTCTCATTTTGAGTCATGCTCCATCAGCAAAAGAAGATGCAGAAAACTTCACTCCATCCATGTCATTATGGTTGGCTCTATTTTTAAAAGCCAGCTCTTTCTCAGTCGTATTGTGTGTGCCTTCCAACTGCTAGGCTCATTTTCTGGCACTATATTTTCTGCTACTGATGTTCTGCTGCCACTCATGATGTTTTCAGTACCTGACAATGTTCTTCAGTGGCGAGTGCCTTAAAAGTGGGTAGCCTATTTTTTCTTTGTACTCTGCTCTTAGTCTGGAATCTGCTAAAAACTGTTCACCTTGGGCAACCCTGCTGGCTTTTGAAATACCAGTGGCATAGCTTCCAGCATCGCACCACACCAGCCACCACAGACAAACTGACAGATAAGTGGTAATTCCCACACATAGTGACACTATGTAGGGCGTTTGAGGCTGTCAATCTCTAGGGGAGCAGACAGTCCTTTCCTTTTTTCCACCATATCAGTATATAACAAAAACAAAGCAAAAAATCCATTGCTGTGGAGTTGGTCTCCACTTCTGGTGATCCTGAGTGGCATAGTAGAACCACACACCATAGGACTTTCAAAAGCTGTGACCTTTTAGAAACTGGTCCCCATGGGTGGATGCCAACTGCCAACTTTTAAATTAGTAGCTTAGCCATTTGCAGTTCAGTTTGAAGAAAGTTTTAGCCAGGTCGATATGGGAACCTTGAGGCAAAATTACCGATTACAGGAGCCCATTGCCTTGTAGGAAGGAGCCCTGGTGGCACTGTGGGTTACAGGCTGGACTGCTAACAGCAAGGGGTTAGTAGTTCAAACCCACCAGCTAGCTACCCAACAGGAGAAAGATAAACCTGTCTGCTCCTCTAAAGGTTTATAGTCACAGAAACCTTGTATAAGGTTGCTGTGCATCTGCATGGACTTGATGACAATGGGTTTGTATCTTGCAAGAATGGAACATTTGTGAGTGCAGCCCAGGGAAAGTGTGGCCTGGAAGGGGAGGGGAAGTGGGCAGTGAGAGACTGCCATTGGGGCTGCCAGTGACAGGTCACAGGGGTGGGCGTGGGGAAAGTTTCTATGACTTCGGGAAGTGGCATGATAATGACTGAGTGATTGCACCTCTGCAAACCAAGGGAAGCTTCATGGACCAGGTAGCCTGTGAGTTCTGACTTGAATGATGGCTAGGATTTGCATGGGTGGTGGGGAGAATGTTGTTAGCAGAGAGACTAGTTTTGGCAACAGAGATTTGAAAATTTAATGGCAACAGAGATCAAAACATTAAAAAAAAAGTCACAGAGGCAGCCTAAGTGGATTTGGTTGATCACAGAGTTTGTAAAATTGGAAGTAAAGACAGGAAGGTCCATTGGAGACAGATCAAGCAACAAGTCTTCTGACACCTGGGTCTCTACTCTTTTCTACCAAATCACAACTCAGGCTCCTTGGTTTCCACTTAGACTAGAGCCCCCTGGTGGTGAAATTAGGCAAAACCGCCTGGGAATCCAGAGCAATCTATACAGGGTGGTGTGGTGGTGATGGTTGAGGGGCTTGGAGTTGTGGCTGACCCATAGACCCTATGCACAACCGAACGAAACACGGCCTGGTCGTGCGCCATCCTCACAATTGTTCCTATGCCTCAGCCCATTGTTGCAGCCAGTGTGTCCATCCATTTCCTGGAAGCCTTCCTCTTGTTCACTGCGCCTGCGTTTTTCATGCCCCTCAATTACCAAGCAAGATGTCCTTCCTTCTCCCCTGACAACATGTCCCAAGTCTGTCAGATGATCTGTGCAATGGAACTCAGGAGGTCATGAGAAAGTGTGTAAGTGTTTGAAGGTTTATATGAAGCAAATTAGGTTATGGAGCTCTGTACATGTACACACCACAAATGAGCTCTTTTTTTGTGTGTGTGAAAAGACTTGTATGCAGAGAAAGGAAGGGAGGAAATAATCTAAAAATTTTAATGCAAGCATTTTCGGGGGCTGTGGGGAGTGAGGGCTAACAGGAGGTTTTAATTCTTTTAAAAACTCTTTGGTAGATCCATAATTTCAAATTTTAATTTGAAAATAAGGAACTCTAATGGCCAGTTTGAGAAGCAGAGCCAGGCAGGGTTTAATGAAGGGTATAGACATTGTTGCAATGGTTGATTGTCCTCCGATTGGTTCAAAGGCTTGTTGAGCCAATGAGTTACAGATCAGAACTGTTCCAGAAGGTTTGCTTGACAGGAATTTTTTTTTTAAGATCATTTTATTGGGGGCTCTTACAGCTTTTATAACAATGCATACATCAATTGTATCAAGCATATTTGTACATATGTTGCCATCATTATTTCCTAAATATTTATATTTTATTTGGGCCCTTGGTATCAGCTCCTCTTTTTACCTTCCCTCCCCCTCCCATCCTTGTGGTCCCTTGATAAATTATAAATTGTGATTATTTTTATATCGTACACCAACCACTGTCTCCCTTCCCTCAAGGTTTCTTCCCCCCTCCACTCCACATCTTATCCCTATCTTCCTGATATCACTACTCCCATTTCTGTTTCTGAGGTTTTATCTGACCTGGATTCCATGCGTCCTGAGCTCTCATCTGTGCCAGTGTACAAGTTCTGGTCCAGGCAGAACTCAAAGAAGGACTGGGTTCATGATAGTGGGGGGTGAGAAAGCCTCAAGGAACCAGAGGAATATTGTGCTTCATTGGTGCTATACTGCGCCCTGATTGACTCATCCCTTCCCTGTGACTCTTCTGTGAGTGGATGTCCCATTGTCTACAGAGGGGCTTGGGTCTCTGCTCCGACCCCCTTGTTCTCAATAATATGTTTTGTTTTGTTTTTGCGGTGGTTTATTTGTTTTGGGTCTTCTGATGTCTGCTACCTGATTCCATCAACACCTCGTGATTGCACAGGCTGGTGTGTTTCTTCCATGTAGGCATGTTGCTTCCCTGCTAGATGGTTGCTTGTTTAACTTTAAGCCTTTTTAAGACCCCAGACACTTTATCTTTTGATAGTTGGGTACCATCAGCTTTCTTCAGCACATTTGCTTGTGCACCCATTTTTGTCTTCAGCAATTATGCTGACCAGGTGAGCATCACAGAATGCCAGGTTGCTAGAACAAAGTAGTGAGCAAACAACATCACAGACAGGGAAATAACTAAGGATTAAAATCAACAACCAAGAGGACATAGAGAATCTGGGGGTGTAGGAGCAATAGCAATCCAGCTGAGAGGAATTACTAAGAGGCAGAAGCAGGATGCGCATGATGGTGGGAAAGGAGGAAGGTAAACAGAATCAGAGAAATGATCGAGGAAGCAAAGCTATGGATAGAGATATAAGCATAGGTGTGCACTTATGTAAATACAGTGATTCATAAAATACAAGTATTGGCATAAGTACAAATATTTATATGGCAATACATTGAGGGAGTGGATGGACTTTGGGCCTCTGCTCAAGCCCTCCCTCAGATGTAGTCCATTTGATTTCTGCGTATTACAACGAGGAAAGTCCATGTGTCTGGTAACCTTTTGTGCTGTTGAAAAAAGGTTCTATTGCTGTGGGTTCAAATAAATGACAGCCACTATAATATCTTGGTAATTTAGAAGAGTCTTTGTTCAGTTACAACTGGACTGCTAGAATCTATAAGCAATGCTTTTTCATTGCAGCCCCCAGTGGACATTTCAGTTCATCTTTAAAGGCAAAAATCTCATTTATCGTTTGTCTAGGACTTAAGCAAGTATGGACAGAAGCAGGAAGCAAAATTAATGTTACTATTTTTTAGAGTTAGTGAGCATTACAGGGTACAGCATCGACTATAACAACCTGGTTAATAAAATAAAGATAGTAATATCCTGGTTATAACATCTAAAGGAACACTATTATTAATTAGAATGTTCTGATCTTGAGAACATGAGAGTACGTTCTAAAATCAATCACTACTGGGACTTCTGAGATGGAGGGGGAAGGAGGCAGGTCATTCAGCAGTGGCTAGTGTGAGTCTGGCTCACTATGAACAAGTCATTGATTTTGCAAAGTTCCATCATGAGATCTCCAGCTTAATTTGTATCACCAAGCCCATCTTTTCCTACTACTGACCCTTCCTCTTTGTTTCTAACTTTTGCATTCCAATAATAATTACTAATGCATCTTGATTGCATGTTTAATCAATTTCCAGTTGAATTCATTGGTAGAATTCTTCAGTTTCTTTATCACTAGTTTTTGTGGTTGGTACGTAAATAAATTTGAATTATACTTATATTGATTGGATATCCTTGAAGGTGGATCGCTATGATCCAAATGCAGATAGCACTGAACCTCATGATGGATTTACCAAGATCCTTGCTGACAATGAATACCACACATTCCCCTTCATTGTATTATTCCTGGTAAAATAAATACTATGATTTTCTGATTCAAAATGGCCATTAGTCCATTCAGCTCAGGATATTGATCTTCATGTGTTCCATTTCATTTTTATGACTTCCAATTTTCCTAGATTCATACTTTGCACATTCAGCATTCTAATCATTAGAATATATGTGTAGCGGTTTCTTTTTACTTTGAGTCAACAAACAAAGGTCACGTGACCACAACTGACTTCTCCACAAGAAATCATCTCCTCTTCAGTTGTATTTCGGGTGCCACTGGACACGAAGGGCCCATCCTCTGGCAGCATCTCTGACAATGTTCCGCTTCCTTTGTTTATCTGGTCAGTATTTGACAGTGCTTCAAAGTTGTGCCTAAGGTTCTCAGCAGTTTCTTCCTCCAAAGTGGGGAGCCAAAGCCTTCATGGTCCATTCTTAGTCTGGAAACCCTGCTGAAAACTGTTCACTTTGGATGACCCTGCTAGCATTTGAAATATCAGGACCCTGACTTCCAGCATCACAACCACCATCTGACAAACTGACAGTTTAGTATAAGGTAGTCGATCTGTTGAGGTTATCCTAGTTTAGGATGGGCTGACCCTAATCACTTCTGGGTGACATATAAAGCAACATGGGTTGAGAGACAAACACACACACACACACACACACACACACACACAGGAAATGGATCTTGCCCTTCAGCCACATCCTGTATTTGGACTTTTCTCTTTGGGTGATAGGACAAAACTTCCAATAATATTTATTGACAGCAGCAGAACCACACCTGCATGTCATAATAAAGCAAGGAAGGAATTAAAATAATAAACATATGGTAGTCTCAGCCCATCACTTATTGGGCACCCTCAAGGCAAGAGATCGGAACCAAAGTCCAACAAAAGCCAGTTATATACCCTTGGATAGTAGTTATGTGCTTCTTCTCACAATGGGGAGTTTCAGCCTTAAGTCAAATGGCTTCAGGTGAGTTTGAGATGCCTGAAGGTGACTGGGTCTACATTGAAGATGATACCTGTGTTTTTGGTTTTATATCAGACTCAGAGATCAATGACCATGAAGTCGCTGCTGAGGGCGCTGGCGAGTATGCCTCCCCACTACCGCTACCTTTGCATCAGCCACCTCATTGGATGGACTGCGTTCCTCTCCAACATGCTCTTCTTCACGGATTTCATGGGCCAGGTAACACCCACTTCTCTGCACGTGGTCATTGGCTTGGACATGAATTCCTCTGTTAGCACCTATCAAGTTTCTTCTGGGCTTGTTTCTAGGGCAGGCAGAGCAAAAGTGTAGAGAAGTGCGTCTTCAAGGAGCTACTTTATAAATAGTCTCCGGAAGCATAAAGGCCGCATCTTGGACAATGAGAGGACGTTATGGAGACTGAATGAATCACCGGTGTGTGATTAGATACAGCAAAGAGTGAAAAGCCAATGTGAGCTGTTGTGGCCATGATCCCCAAACCAAACTCACTACCATCGCGTCAGTGCGGACTCATAGTGACTTTCTGTGAGTTTCGAAGACTTTAACTGTTTATGGGAATAGATACTCCAGTCTTTTTCTCATGGAGCTGCTGCTGATTTTGAACTGCTGAGCATGCAGCTGGCAACCCAAATGTAACCACTATACCATCAGAGCTCCTGCAGCGGCCACGATAGACTTATTGAAAGAAGTAGAGTAAAACGTGGACCTTGGCAGGCAAGTAGGCACTGGCGGGAGAGGAGTTGCAGCAAACATTGCACACAGGAACAGAACTAACATGCGTAGAGATGAGTGAAGGCTGTTGGCTGGAATAGAAGGTGGGAAGGAGGGTTGCCCATGGGGCCCCCACAACTAATCATGGGTTCGGTAGGTTCAATTGTATGGCTGAAATATATAAAGATGATAGTAAAGTCAGAGTAATAGGGAGAGATGGGAGAGAGAGTAAAATAAAGGAGTCAGACACATTTCATGGTAGCATGCTCACCTCCTGGACGGCCATGATCTCAACAGCCAGGTCCACACACAGCATGAACCGAGAGGGCAGGAGACAGCAATTTATTGCTAACTAAAGCTTATATATCTTTGTGGGCATGCATGCCTCCTAATTACAGGTAAAGACATACGTCATAGGAAGGGACTGTACAATAGGCAATATAAGCAACAGGAGGGGGATATACAATGGGCATAAGTGTAACAGGAAGGGGATGAGCTAGGGGTGTACACATGATAGAAGGGGAGGGGCTAAGGGTATACATGTGACAAGATGGGCAGACCCTAGATTTATGATGGTGGCCTAACCTTGGTCACCCTTGAGTGGGCTTGACCTCCCTTGGCTCTCCTTCAGGGAAACAATCCACTACTATCCATATCAGAAGGGAGTGGGCTCTACTTAGGGTGGGACAAAATATACAGTCTGGTTGCTCTAGATGGCTGATAACCCTTAGGGAGAATAACCTCTGACCTACTTTCGTTGACCTCCAAGTGTACAGTAATTTACCAGGCATAGCAAGCAGCTAGGTTTGGCATATATTTGGGGGAGACAACTTGGGAGAAATCTTTCTGTTTCCCATAGTTGGCTAAGCCAGAAAAGGGTCAAATGTTCAATAGAGGCAGAGAGGGTCAAGAGCCAAAGAAATGTTGTTCCGACTTGATGCAGGAGGCATTCTGTCTTCCTGAATGTTCTTGAGCAGAGGTGTATGGGATGGAAATGGTTACTTGAGCTTGGCAGAATGAACTTCATGTCCAAGGACAGGTCCGTCAGACAGGAGCATGGGGATCCCAGGGAATAGAGAGGCAGAGTTTATGAGGAGGGGGGCGGGGCCAACAGCTCTGCAGCTATAGCTCAGCGGCCCAATTCTCTCTTTCAGATTGTGTATCGTGGGAATCCTTATGGCGCACACAACTCCACTGAGTTTCTCATCTACGAACGAGGGGTCGAGGTTGGATGCTGGGGCTTGTGCATCAACGCCATATTCTCCTCACTTTATTCCTGTAAGTCTCCCGATCCTATGGGTGTCATCTAAAGGGCTCGAGACTGGTGGATTCTTGGGTTTCTATTTTTGTATGTGTTTTCTGCTTTCTAAAATGGAAGGTTTCAAAGGCGCCCTGGTGGCATAGTGGGTAGGCATTGGGCTGTGACCCACAAGGCCAGCAGTTCGAATCCACCAGAAGCTCCAATGAAGAAAGATAAGACTTTCAACTCCCATAAAATGGAAGGTTTCTGATAGATACATGGAGGCCAGGAAGAATTATTTTATCAAGAACGACATGAAGCACTCTTTCTTTTCCCCTGAAACTCTTTGTAGAGAGATCCCGGCCTTGAGGATTAGTTTGTTCTTGGGCTCAATGGATTTCTGATCAAGGATCTCTAGGAACTGAAAAGAAACTTGATACAAAGCATCGTGAAATGGGATGATGAAGGGAGGGTGAGGGACAGCTTCCCCACAGAGCTTACTGATTAACAGGGGGCAGGCGTGCTGCTATAGCCTGATTACCTACAGAGTCTTAGAGATAAGCTTATCAGATTTGCAGATGAGGTAAAATAGGAGGGGTGGTTCATATGACAGGGGACAAAATCAAGGCGTAACACCATCTCAGCTCTAGTGAGGCAGAGTGTTATGTTTCAGGAGCTCTGTCTCAGGATTGAAAATTCTGGGAGGAAGACTTCAAATGGATAAATTGGAATGAGAGAGACCTAAGCTAGACGGCTCTACCAAATGATCCATCTCCATCCTTTTGTGTTGCCAAGGGATGAGTAGATACAGTGAAACCTTGACCGTTGACTGACTCAGTGTGCGCAAACTTCTCCCTACTTGGAGAACAAAGTTCAAAAAAAATCTGGCCAGTGTCCGTAACTTTTTGAATAGAAAAACTGCAAATCTGACTTGAAAAATGTGTACAGGTGAGCATAAGGCATGCATCACGTTTCACCATGGACACAAAGTCACCATGGACTTCTAAGTGCCATTCTCCCTCAGACAATATATAGTACTTGCGTGAAAACATTTGTCATTGTGATTTTTTTTGCACTGTATTTACATAAAATACATCATGGTTCCAAAGAAAGTTAATGATACCAACAGTAAAGCTAAGAAAAAGCCTGTGAGAACCCAATAGTTAAAGAAAAACATCATTGCGAAGTTTGAAGCAGGTCACCACTACTCTGATGTGGTGGCTGAGCACAGCCTGGCTACGTGGACATCATCAACATTTTTGGAAAGAAAAAAAGTGATTAGAGAGGTGAATGTAGCGAAAGGTGTGAAATTGTTATCCATGAAACACTCAACCATCGAAGAGGTTGAAAAGTGACTGTGTATTTGGATAAACCAGAACTAGCTCCATGGGGATAGTGTATCTGAGACAGTGATATGCGAGAAGGTTAAAAGTTTCTATAGTGACTTAAATTACCGGAAAAATGAATTTATAAGTGTAATTTGGGGGCCTCAGAACCAATTATTTTGTTTTCTATTATTTTTATGGGGAAAATATATTCAGTTCTCAAACTTTTTGGTGTTAGAACACGAATTTGGAATGAATTGAGTTCAACAACAGAGGTATCACACTTAGAAAAAAGGTACTGTCCTTTTCCCTGCAAATTATTTTAATTTTGCATCCATTTTAACTTTTTCTTTTTTCCTCAAAGAGCCCTACTAAGTAATAGTCTTAGCAGACTGCTTGAGTTCCTGAGTGAATCTCATGTTATTTGAAAATTGAAAAGTATGCTGTTTTTTTAGGCCATTTCTAATTAAGAGCCCTGAATATCAAATAAACTATTATTTTATTAGTTTTCTAAAGTTTATCAAGTATACCTTTATGAGGTCCCTAACATTGTGAATTAGCAGTAAACAATAATGTCTAGATTAGAATCAACCCTGCTGACTGCTTTTCAGGGGCTCCCAGTAGCCCATCTGGTAAAGTCAAATGGCTGAGCTCGGCATTGAAGGCTTTCACACTTTGGACTGCACATTGAACTCTCTAATTGTCACACAGGCGAATCACTCACTTCTGATGACTCACTGCACAGCCTTACACACCTGACCCTTTCACACGGGTTGCCTAAGACTATCAGAAAACACATCTTTCTGATGGTCTTAGGGACCGATACATTGGCTTTTTACGCATACTGTCGCAAAATGTAGCAATGGAGTTTACTGTTGTTATATTAAGACTGTTACCCATGCTACACTATGCTTCGAGATAAAATTTCATCTATTTGTAATTAGAAATAAATATTTCACAATACATAATCACATATTTTTGTCATTCATCACTGAGCTTTAATTATGTTCGATTTGTAACAATGAAAATACTGATAGCTGCATATCAGATATTTACATAAAAATTCATAGCAGCATCAAAATTACTGTTACGAAGTAGGAATGAAAATCATTTTATGGTTGGGGGTCACCACAACATGAGGAGCTGTATGAAAGGGTAGTGGCATGAGGAAGGTTGAAAACCTCTGCTCTAGATGGAGTGTGGTGGGCCAATCTAGGGCATGGGGAAAAAGGACTTGTTCCTTATCAAACGCCCTTATTCATAGCTGGAGCTAAAAGCAACAATCCCCTCCAATTCTAAGCAGTGGCACAGTGTGATGATATGACTGACAGTATCAGACCCGCCAGAAGGCAAGTCCAACTTGACCTTCATGTATGGATTTTTGTCCATGAATGAAACATCTTGGCCAAACAATGTCTTTATACTGAAGTCACTGTATATACTTGTGTATAAGCCAAGTTTTCCAGCACAGTGTTAATGGTAAAATTAGGTGCCTCAGCTGATATTTGCGTCAGCTATTACTAGAGTATATACGGTACTTATATTTCCAAATATCCCTCCACATATTTTTTTGTCTCCAACTCAACTGGCCTCCACCCACCCACTTGGATAAGGGAACAGTGATGGAATCGTTTAGGTATGGACACATCTTAGATTACATTTCTGCATAAATATCAACACGAAGTAAACAGAAACTGACCTGGCTATATGCTGCCTTTGGGCTTGGTATGAATTTAATAAAGGACGTGATGTTGTCGGTGTATCATTTCCGGAGTCCTGCCATCTGCTGGAATGGCTGGGGACAACATTTAGTTTCATGACCGATTCAGTATATTGGAGATTCGTTTCTTGTCGACATGGTGCACGTGTAATCAGTATTTGGGTAGAGGGGACATGCTGTTTCTGAGTAGGGACATTTCTTTTATCCCTGGAGTGTTAGTACGACTAGACTAGAGAAACCAATCCATAGAAACTCACTTGTGTATAAGAGAGAGTTTTAGATAAAGGGTAATTGTACATTAAGAAAGCATCCCAACCCAGTCCAGTTCAAGTCCACAAGTCCAATATTTGCCCATATGTCTGATACCCATCTATAAAGTCCTCTTCAGAGTCACAAAACACATTCAATGATGCCAAATGCAGGACGATCACAGGCCAGTGGGCAGAAAGTCCTTGGATCCAGTGGCATTGTAAGCATCTCAGCACTGGCTGGGGTCTCTACATGGCTTCTCTGGCTCCAGAGGCCTGGTTTCATCAGGGCAGGTCCATGTGGCTTTTCCAGCTCAGGGCACTAGCATAGTTCCATATATCAGCTGCAATGTCTCCAAGGAAATAAACAAAGATAGTCTGTCTCTTGCCTCTAAGCAGGTAATACCAGAGTTCCCAGAATCCTCAGTAGAAGACCATGCCCACACAGAAGTCTCACTGGCTATATCCCGATCAACAGACTAGACCCCACCCCTTCACTCTTAATCCTCTCATATCGCAAATTGACACCAGATTATGTAACTACCACACCCAGGCTCTTCTGTTCTAGGAGGGTTGAATAGGAGAGAGGTAAGGAATACACAGGCTGAAAATGAAGAAGAGTTTTTTTTAAAGGAATTTTTCTTACCATGTGGTGCATATCATAAAACGTTTTTCAAAGTGTTTTATTTATTTAAGTAAAAATTAGCTCTACCACAATGCTTTTTATGAACAAGTCAAATTTGCCTGGGGTGGGGTGTCACCAAGTTGAGTTGACAATCTTCAATACAACCTATGTCCATTGAAATAGCAATAAATAAATACATAGGTATAAAATTAATTGGCAAAGTAGGCAGAGCTTCCAATGGCAGGCAGAGTTGATAATCTTTAATACAACCTATGTCCATTGAAATAGCAATAAATGAATACATAGGTATAAAATTAATAAGCAAGGTAGGCAGAGCTTCCAATGGCAGGCAGAGCTCTGGAAATGACAGCCTGACAACATCACTTCCTTTAGTAAATTCACATCAGTTGGTATGTAGGTAGATATATAGACACGCAGGCAGACATCAGATTCTTGGTGATCCTATGGAGAACAGATGAAGCATTGGTCCCACACCGTTCTCACAATTGTTGACATGTTGCAGTCCACCCTCACGGGGTTTGTGCCAGTCCATCTCATGAGTTCCTCCCCCACCTTTGCTGCCTCTCTAGATACAATGTCCTCCTCTCATAATGGATCCTTCATATTGAGGTACCCAAACCAATTGAGCTGGACAATGTGTTGTTATGACCCACAGCATAATCAATATAAACCAAAAAGCCAAAGACCTGGAGAACCCCTGTGGATTTCTAAGACTGTAACTGCTTCCAGAAGGAAAAACCCAGTCTTACTTTTGCAGAGCTGCTGGTGGTTTTGAACTGCCAGCCACATAGATCACAGCCCAGCCAGTAACCACTACACCACCAGGGCTATATAACCCCTTTCCAAAGCATTTATCAGACCACTTCTGATGCAGTTAGGTTTCCACTGGTTCCTTTTCAAATGTAGATCATCAGAATGTTCTTGCTAGTCTGTCTTTGTCTGGAAGCCCCACTGGCTACCCTTTTGGGGTTAAAAATATGGACAGCCTAGTTTCCAGCATCACAGCAATGTGTAAGCTGCCCAAGATAACAAACTGTCTGATGGATGTCGGGAATTCACTACAGCTACCATTAATGGAATGCCTTTTAGGTGCTAGGTTTTGGAGTGGGTGATTTCATATATAGTAGACCTCATTTGATCCTGACAATCATCCTAAGGGAAGGTTATGTATCTTACTTTTCAGATGAGGAAGCTGAGGTTTTGAGAAGCTAAGAAACTTGTCCACAGAGGGGGGTGGTCAGTGATGAGGAAGTGTTGGGCCCTGGGGGAGCCTTTTACAGCTTGGGAAGGGCTGGCGAGTCAAGGAAAGGGCCTATAGGTCATTTCACACCATTCACTTCACTCTCTAGGAGCCCTGGTGGCATAGTGGATCACATGTTGGGCTGCTAACCTCAAGGTAAGCAGTTTGAAATCACCAGCTACTCTGGGGAAGAAAGACGAGGCTTTCTTTTCCTGAAAAGTCTTACCGCATTGGAAACCCACAAGGGCAGGTTGGCTTTGTCCAGTAGGGTCGGCATTGATGTGTCGGTGGCAGCGAGGTTGAGTTGAGTTGAGTGATCTCTTCCTCTGCCATCCAGACGATGCCCCTTGATACCAAAGAGGAATAGAAGGTGTGGACCATGGTGAAAAAAGCCGACTAAAAAAATTTTTTTTTTCGGAGACAGACTTTGGATCACAGGTATCCCCCTTTGCTTTTCGAAGGTCACTCTATACGACTTAGCTTTTCATGAGAGACCTGTATTAGTCCCATGATACTTTTACGAGGACCCAATTTTGCTAATGGAGGAAATCTGAAGAAGAATTTTTATCTTTACGAAACAGAGGAAAAGTGGAACAAGTGTTGAGTGTTGGCTTCTCAAAGAGGCCATGGACACTTCAGCAGCCAGAATGGTGACTCCAGGCTCCTTCCCTCAAACCACACTCAGCATCCAGTGACAGTGTTTGGGTTGTGTCTGTGGACAGAATTATGTTTGTGTGATTTTTGTTTTTTATATTATTTGTTTGGTTTAGTAGGATTTTTAAAAAATCCATTTTCCCGAGTGGGTTTGTGTACGTCTGGGAATTTCCAAATATTTCCCCAAAGAATTGAATGGTAATTGTACTTGACTCTATTTTGGCTTACAAAAGGTTACATACAAATGCTATACTGTTGGATAACAGGGGAAGCCTATATTGGTATGAGGTCCTTTCAGGCCAGTTTCATATGAGTCAAAAGGGTATCTATGGAGTTGCTATTAAGTCAGTCAACTCTGACTCCTGGTGACCCTGGGGATCGTGGAGTCCAGTTGTGCTCCATGGTGTTTTCATGGCTGGCCTTTGCAAGAAGACTGCCAAGCCTTTATTCCATGGTACTGCTGGGAGGGTCATTAAGTTAACAGTCAACAATGTTTATTGCAACTTGTATGAATTGAAATAGCAATCGATAGGTAGGTGGGTAGGTGGGTAGGTAGGGAGGCAGATAAAACAAAGTCACTGCCATCAATGTCAATTCATAGCAACCCTATAAGTCAGGGTAGAACTGGCCTGTGAGTTTCTGAGACTGTAACTCTTTACAGAAATAGAAATCCAGGTCTTTCTCCTATAGAGTGGTTTCAAACTGATGACCTTATCATTGGCAGCCCAACATTTGATCATTACACAACCCTGGTGGACTCCGTAGATAGATACATGCATATCATCAAGTCAGCTCTGACCCTATGCGTGGTCGATCAAATGGTGGACTTGACACTAGCCCTTCAATCAGTAGCCATGCTCATCAACTCTTTGCACCCCAGGGAGTCCTCTGGATCAGAATAACCCACATTTCTCTTCCGGGTGACCCCAGGATGTATGGCTGAGGGGAGCTTTTTCACGACCTTTTTTGCATCCTGCCTCTGTTCAGCTGCCTGCCATGGTGCCCGGCCCTTTTCTGGTGAAAGGGAAAATCGGCCTAGCAAGGCGTTTCCAAGGTCTCCTTTATGCAAAGGAGTTTAGAGTGATTTCAGAAGCCAGCTGTTTCCAAGCACAGATAAGGCAGCTCTTTTGTTCCGGATTCAGTATTAAGGAAGTCTCCCAGTGAGTGCACATCTTTAACCGAAAGGATTTTCTGAAATGACTAAGTGTTGGGAGGCATGGCTAGCTGTAATATTGCCCTTTCCTCTCTTCACAGACTTTCAGAAAATGTTGGTCTGCTACGTGGGATTAAAGGGCATTTACTTCATGGGGTACCTGCTGTTTGGCTTGGGGACAGGATTCATCGGGCTCTTCCCGAATGTCTACTCCACCCTGGCTCTGTGCTCCTTGTTTGGTGTCATGTCCAGCATACTGTACACTGTACCCTTTAACCTCATTGCTGAGTACCACCGCGAGGAGGAGGAGGAGAAGGTGCGTCTGTGAACGTCTGCTCTGGGGAACACGGGGACTCACCTGGAGGTTGGGAGGAGGGGCGGGGATTTGGCAGAAAGTCTGTAGCCGGAAACTAAGGGCACTGAAATTCCTAACTGATGTCCACCATGGCCTGGGGAAGAGATGGTGACCTCTTCACCTCACCCCACCCCTCCCCTCCTCCTTGCTTATCTTCTGTTCTTTTGATCGGAGACCCTGGGAGGTATAAATATTAGCTAACAGCTCAACTACTAACCAAAAGATTGGTGGCCTGAAACCACCCAGAGGCACCTTGGAAGCAAGGCCTGGCAGTCTGCTATTGAAAAGTCTTGAAGACTATGAAGCAATTCTCTTCCGCTCATACGCAGTTGGCATGAGTTGGAACTGACTTGATGACAGTTGGTGTGCGTGTGCGTGTATGTGTGTGTGTGTACATGCACACACAACTAAAGAGCAGTTGGGCAAGTACTGGTTCTCTCATTTGCCTAATTAGGAGGAGGAGGCTTAGGAAGATCAGCAACCTGCACACGATCCCACAAAGACAAAGAAAGGGCAACAGGGTCTTCTGACAACTGATCTGCTCCCCGCCCTGAACCACCCAAAACAAAAACCCGTCGCTGTTGCTACTAACTCACACAACAGAGTAAAACTGCCCCAGAGGGTTGCCAAAGCAGCAGTCTTTACACCCACAGACTACCACCGCTTTCCCACAGGCAATGACTGGAGGATTTGAAGCAGGGCCCTTTGGGCTAGCAGGTGAGTGCTTAACCACTGGCTCATTAGAGTTTCTCAACCAATCTACCCACACAAACTCACTGCTACTGAGTTTGTTTCCACTCATATTTCAACCTAGGAAACCTGTAGGACAAAGGATAACGACCCCGTAGGGTTTCCTACACTGAAAACATTCACAGAAACAGATGGTCATATCTTTCTCTCAAAGAGCAGCTGGTAAGTTTGAACCCAAGGGCTTTTGGGTGACCCACAATGTTTAATGCACCAGGCCATCAGCCACTCCACCCCATCTATGGCCCTCCTAAGGCACTTGCAGCTTTTCTGGGCACTAACAGGAGTTGGCTTGATGAAAGGGAGGAGGACTTGAAGCACTTGCTGATAAAGATCAAGGGTGGTAGCTTTCAGTCTGGCTTACAACTCAATGTAAAGCAAAACTAAACCCTCACAATTGAACCAATAGGTAACATGGTGATAAATAGAGAAAAGATGGAAGTTGACAAGGATCTCACCTTGCTTCGATCCACCATCAATGCTCATGGAAGCAGCAGTCAAGAGAGATTGAATGACACATTACATCGGGTAAAATTGCTGCACAAGACCTCTTTAGAGTGTTAAAAAGCAAGGATGTTACTTTGAGGACTAAGATACACCTGATCCAAGCCATGGTATTTTAAATTGCTCTTATATGCATGTGAAAGTTGGAGATTGAGAGTAAGGAAGGCCTGGGAAGAATCAATGCATTTAAAAATACCACAGACTGCCAAAAGAACAAATGAATCTGTCCTGTAAGAAGAATCGTCAGAGGGCTCCTTAGAAGCAAGGATGGCAAGACTTTGTCTCATATACTTTGGACATAGACCAGTCTCTGGAGAAGGACATCGTGCTTGGAAAAGTGGAGGACCAGTGACCAAGAGCAAGACCCTCCTCAAGATGGATGGACACAGTGGCTGCAATAATGGGCAATAATTCTGAGGATGGTGCAGGACAGGGTAGTGCTTCCTTCTCTTGTGCATAAGATGGCCATGAGCCAGAAATGATGCAATAGAACAAACAAACAAAAACTGGCTGAGGGTAGGGAATTCTTTGGGAATAATTTCTTGGGAAGTCAGACTGTTTGCTGGTGATTAATGAGGAAGCAGGGAGGGAAACTGGGCTCATGGAGTCAGCCCCGCCCAACTGCCCAGAGGAGAACTGAAACACTTATCCCAAAGCGAGGCCCTAAACATTTTTATAAGAACATGAATTGGGTACTTCCGTTCCAAAATTACTGCCTCTTCTTACCAGAAGGTACAACTTTTTTTTCCTGAATGAAAGCTTACATTTTCTTGACTATGACAGTTATATAAGGGTAAGTAAAAAAGTATTATTACAAAATTATAGAAATCTTTACAAGATAAACACATAAACATTTGAAGGTACTGGTCTTGACATATTCTCCATCTAGACATATACGCCTCTGAAGGTGGCATTGAGCTCTTAAAGTGTTGAAAATAAAGATGTGACTTTGAGGACTAAGGTGCAACCGGGTCAAGCCATGGTCTTTTCAGTCACCTCATATGCACGTGAAAGTTAGACACTAAATAAGGAAGACCAAAGAAGAATTGATGTAGCTGAATTATGATGCTGGTGAAGAATCATGAAAGTACCACGGACTGCCAGAAGAACAAACAGATCTGTCTTGGATGAAGTACAGCCAGAATATTCCTTTGAGGCAAGGATGGTGAGACTTAGGCTCACAGACTTGGGCCATGTTATCAGGAGAGACCAGTCCCTGTAGAAGGACATTATGCTTGGTAAACTAGTGGGGCAGCAAGGAAGAGAAAGGCTCTTGGCAAGACAAGTTGATGCAGTGCCTTCAACCACGGGCTCCAACACCTGAGGCTGCCCAGGCTGCCCAGTGTTTTGTTCTGCTGTACAGAGTGTCTCAATGCGTCAGAACCACCTCAGTGGCAGCTAACAACAACAATAACAGCAACAACCCTCCTTCCCCAAAGCATCCTGCACTCATCAATTCACACTAGGTTCCAATGGCAGTGACGGTCCCCTTGAGAGACACAAAGCCTATTCTTTTGCAATGCTCTTTGAGTTTGGGGAACAAAAAGAAACCTGAAAGGGCAAGATTAAGGCTGTAGGTCAGATGGGGTAAATTTCCCAACAAAATTTCCAGTAGACAGCCCTGTGCGACTCTTACAGGGTTAGCAGGTGCGTTGTCATGATGGGAAAACATTTTTGTTGGGGAAAAGAATCCCTCAGTGTTACTTTCCCAACCCTTTTCTCACTAATGCAGTTTTCAGTTTCCTGAGCCCTTCTTCATAATAAGTCCCATGATGAGACCAAAGTGCCCTTTGAGCAAATCTGTAAGGACCATCCCCTGGGAATTCCCCCAAATGGTCACCATAATTATAGCTGACCTTGAGTTCACCTTTGACATCTTCCTTAAAACACACAATCCATTCAAAAAATAGTTGTGTCGTATGACGCAGCATTCCCCTAAACTTGTTGCAAAACTTCAATAATTGAGCAGAGGTCTACTTGAGTTTTGTTAAAAATTTGATATTAGCTCTGACTTCAGAATTATTTTTCCCATGGCACAAAAAACGAGTCTAAGGAATCCTAATGAGTCTAAGACAAATGTATTATAGGGAGAACTTGTCTACAGCCACCCACTGATCTCACAGGGATATGCTTTAAAAGGCTTTGCTTGAAAAAGAAAACCACTTGTATGAGCTGAAACCATAAGAACAATACTTTTGACTCACCCTGGAAAGCCCAAGTGGTAACTCCAGGTTCATCCATCACAGCATAGACATTGAAAACCATAGGACATGTGACCACAGGATGGTCATTTCGGTCTTCCTGAGCATCCTCTGACTGGGCAAACAGAGAAGGTGGAAAAACAAAGGAGGTAAAACCTTCCCAAAAGAGTTGTGACTGGTCCTTCTCCAGCAAACACTGCTGCTCCTGCTTCCGGAACTTGCTGCTGAAACGGCTGTGATCGTACCTCCAAGCAGAGAGTCGCATGGTTCAAAGGTAAACACAGAAGCTCTGGAGTCACAGGAACCTGGGTCCACATCCTACCTCCTCTACTTTGCAGCTATGTGGCATTAGGCATGTTATTTCATTGTTCAGTTTTGGTTAAAATTTTCTCAATTCATTTTTAGATGAGGTAATGCATTTGTATATCTCAATAATCACATTCTTGTACAAAATGCACCCTGAGCAGTGCCTCTTATCCCTTCCTGTTCACCTTCTCCTTCTCTGTATAGGTAAACATGCTCACTGCTTTGTCTATCACTACAGTATTTTTAATACAAATCAAGCAAATATGACTGTTTTCCTTTTACCCTTTTCTTTTTTCCCCAAATGCTAACATGCATTGTTCTGCGCTGAGTTTTTCTTTCTTTTGTTTTTTGTTTTAATTTTTTAACCTTAATAGCATAAGCTCACTGGTTCAGACCAATTTGTTCCTTGGGGAACAGATGAGACTATCTTATCCTATAAGAATGCACAACCTCAGAAACACTTCCTATCTAGGGGCACCATGAGTTGAAATGGACTCATTGGCAATACATTTGGGTTTTGATTTAATGGCATGGAAAGTAACATTCAAAGTCTTAAAGGCTTCAACCAGCCAAATGTATAAGGGGGGGCACCTAATAAATTTGCACAACACCAAATGTATTGAAGATAGTTTCGCTAATATATTTAGTATACTACCTACCTAGCACCTGGAAAAACATTTTTGTAAATGGTCATAGTAGTATGATTACCACAGAAAAATTGATCATCACAGGCCATCTAAGGAGGTGGTGGGAAAAGTGTAGAAATATATGGAAGATCCTTGCACAAGGTTTAGCAAATATGAGATGTCTGTCAAATGTCTTGTTATTAACTAGTTTGGGCCAAGTGAAATATTTGCCAAATCTTTATATGTTGTTGTTGTGAGGTGCCCTCAAGTCGGCTCCAGCTCATAGTAATCCCGCCCAATCCGGGCTGTCTTCACATTTAGTGTTCTGTTTGAGCCCGCTGGTGCAGACACCATGTCCACCCTTCTCTCACAGGGGCTTCCTCTTTTTCACTGACTCCTGACTTCGCCAACCACGATGTCCTTTTCCAGGGACTGCTCTTCCCTAATAACAAGTTCAAAGTAGGCGAGACAAAGTCTCACCATTCTTGCTTCTCAAAAGTATCCTTCCAAGATTTGTTTGTTCTTCTGGCAGCCCACTGTCCTTTCAATCATTTTGCAAACACCGTAATTCAAACTTAGCTGCTCTTCTTTGGCCATCCCTATTCACTGTCCGACTTTCACATACACATGAACCATTGAAAATGCCAGAGCTTGGGTCAAGTGCACCTTAGGTTTCAAAGTGACCTCTTTGATCTTCAACACTTTGAAGAGCTCTTGCTTGCACAGCAGATCTGCCCAATGCAATGTATTGTTTGATCTCTTGACTGCTGATTGGACTGTGGATCCAAGCACAATGAAATGCTCAGCAGCTTCAATCTTTTCTGTATTTATTACGATATTGTTTATTGGTCTGCTTGTAAAGATTTTTCTTCACATTGAGTTGCAGTCCATAATGAACGCTGTAGTCTTATTCTTGGACAGCAAGTGCTTAAGTCCTTCCTTCTAGCAGGCAAATGATGTCATCTGTATATCACACGTTTATCTGCTGTTGTTGTTAGGGGCCATCGAGTCAGTTCCACCTCATAGCAAAACAGAGCAAAACCCTGCCCGGCCCTGCACCATCTTTCAATATTCTCCTCCAGCTTCATCATTCAAATGCATCGACCATTGCCTGGTTTTCCTTATTCATTGTCCCCCTTCCATGTGCATATGAAGATGATATCTACCCAAGTAACAACCGCCTTGTGAATGGTAGCGCTGCTCACTCACGTTGTATCTCCTAAGCATCTCTGTGACTTAACAACCTCCTAAATGTTGGAAAGTTCAAGACGAAGCAAGAAAGCAGAGGGAACTGTATTGAGTTTCTTTGACCTTCTTTGGGATTCCCATCAATTGTTAAGCACACTCTGTGGGCAAGAGGCCTAGTGATGGGCCACAGTCGGAAACCCGAGAGGCAGTTCTACTCTGTTGCCCAAGGCTGTTCAGGGTCAGAATTGCTGTCTTTCAATTCTGATGTGAGAGGGAAAGGAAGGCCTAACCATCTGCCTCTGCAAAGATTACAGCCACCATAGTCCTTGGCGTAAACCCCAAACCAAGCTGACTGCCATCTAATGGACTGCTCTTCATCGTGACCCTGTCAAGACTTTAGAGAGAGATGATTTTATATATACGAACCACTCACCCGTCATGGATGAATGATGCAATGTAGGGTTTTATAGTATATGAGGAAGACAATGTCCATCAGGAAGTTGGAGCTCGCTGACCAGAGCTCCCAAATCCACTGGTCAAATACCACCTGCTACTTGATTTTGTTGAGCCTGTGCCCTCAAAATTATTTCTAACATTTTTAGTGGTTGAAAAATGAGAAGGGTCACATTTTATGATAATAGAAAATTACCCCAAACAAAAACTTCAATATCTGTAAATGAGACTATGCGAATTTGTTTATATGTTGTCTACGCCTGCTTTTGCACACAACAGAATTGAGTACCAGTAACCCCTCACTTCACGACACATTTGAGTTAAAATGAGCAGCACTTATGACTTGTCTGTGTTTGTTTATTTTGTGTGTTCAGGGAGTGTATGTTTTATTGTTTATCATATGTAGGGCATAAACCCAAACCATACTCACAGCGGTGGAGTCGACTGCGACTCACGGTGACCCTGGTGGGCAGAGGAGAAGTGTCCCATGTGGCCTTCTGAGACTGTCACTCTTTACGGAAGTAGATAGCCTCATCTTATTCCTATAGAGTGCCTGGTGGTTTCAAACTGCCGGCCTTGTGGTTAGCAGCCCAATGTGTAACCACTATACCACCACATTAAAAAAACTCTGCAAGTTTGTATGTAATGTTTTCAACCCCAAATGATAAATCAAGATGGGATTTATCAAGAGACTGATAATAAGAGGCCACAGTAAGGAAAACTAGGACCAAACCAAGGAGGCATTCGACTCACTTTAGAACGGACTTCTAGTGGAGTTTGGCATGGAAGCTTATGTCTGTCAGGAGCTTGCGTGTAGTTGTAGCAGAGAGCACAGGGCACACAAAGCCCAATGCTTTACTACCTGGCTCTTTACAGAATAGGTTTGCCACCCCCTGCCTTCCGTGTCTGTTCCGTGTAGCCTCAATGTTGTTCCTGTGCTTCCCTTGCAGCGACGGCAGGCCCCAAGTGGGGACCCGAACAGCAGCGGGAGAGGAAAGGGCGTGGACTGTGCTGCCCTTACCTGCATGACACAGCTGGCCCAGATCCTGGTCGGAGGTGGCCTGGGCTTGCTGGTCAACACGGCTGGCAGCGTCATCGTGGTGGTGGTCACAGCGTCTGCAGTGGCATTGACTGGCTGTTGCTTTGTGGCCGTCTTTGTGAGATACGTGAATTAAGTCAATAAAGAGACACTGACCTTAACCTCTGTCGTTGAGCAAAGCACTGGTATCTCTCCATTGCTTTGATCTGCCTGTTGGATATGCCTGTCTCCCTCTCAGGCTGTCCTCTGAACAGCGATCCTATGTTTCAGGCATCTTTTTTCTAAAACAAGGCTGGACAAGGGTGTGCGTGCTGGGTACCATCCACACACACCTTTCTTCTTGTATCTTGGAACGGGGGAAGTGGGAAGGCAGGGTCAGGCCTGAGAGGCAGGCAAGTCTATGTGCTTGGCTTTCTTTTAGGACACATATATGCATTTTTAATCTGAGACCCATGTATAATCTGGGGGCCATATTCTTCAACTTCACCGGTATGCCAGATATCACTATTTATGAGCTCCCTAACAAGTCTGCTTCATCTTCTCATGCCGTGCAATGTATGTTTGTACTGGTTCATTTCTGAAAGCGTTTCAAAAGGGGTCCTCTAGTTTCCTCTTGGACCATCTCTTTTCCCAAGCTCGGTAGTTTCTCCCTAGCCATAGCCCTTCAAGTACTTTTCTAGGTCAGGTTTATAGCAGCCTCAAGAGGAAGCTTGACTGAAAGATTCGAAGACCATGGATCTGAAACCAGGTTGGTTGTGCACCCTGACTTTGCCTGGCTCCAGCAAACAATGCAACCTTCCCAAACCTTGCTTGCTCACTGCTGCAAGTAGGAAAATAATTCCCATCTCCAAGAGTTGGGACCATTAGTAGTACATGACACTTACTGAGCCCCTAACCACTACTTTTTTGGGTGGGGGAGGGGGGTTAGTATTTTATTGTGTTTTGAGCAACAATCCACTCCATCCATATGTTCCCGTTCAACAACTTTCACACAAATTATTCAGTGACACTGGTTATATTCTTCACAATCCCTTGATCTGCTTCCATTATCGGGTTTTTCCTGCCCACCCATCCATGCTTACCTTTTGAATAATGTCATTGTGGATAGTTTGGTCCCACAGTGTGCATGACTGGTATTCATTATTTTTGTGAGTGAATCGGTTATTTGGCTACAAGGTGATCTCAGGGGCTATCTTTGGGTTAAGGTTTAGAGCATCAGAGAGCAACAGTCTCCAAAAGTCCTCTGGTCTCCACCAGCCCAGTAAGTCTTGTTTGTCGATGCCATTTTCCTGAATGTGAGGTCTTTTTCCACCTTTCCCCCATTCTACCAGTGGCTGTCAGAAGAGCTAGTCAGTCGCAGCATCTGGGCAGCATGGAGTTCTAGTCTCAGGGTAAAGGAGGCCAGGGTTGGAGTACATTTTGGGTTTCTTCTTTGTGCCTTAGGTCTCTTGCAACTGCTAGCCGTTACTCTAAAAGTTCTGCCTGTGATAACACTGTGACTTTGTGAGTGGGTGCTGTTCTACAACTCTATTCTGTAGATGAGGAAACAATGGCTATGGAATTCTTCTGAAGCTACATAGCTTGTAAGGGGCAGCACTGGGCTTTGAACCCAGGTGCTCTGGCTCCACAGCTTCCTATATGGGCAGCACTTAGCCTAGTGGTTGGCACTGAGCTCACCCTTGATAACTACTATCACGATGGTAAAGGATCATCATCCTGTGCCTACATCCCGAGTTGAGCTCCTCTGGTCTTTTGTGGGCAAGAGGCCTAGTGATGGGCCGCAGTCGG